GCCAATTTCTGCTAAAGGGACATAAAGGAGAATCTGTATGCCCAGAGTGCAGTCTGAGTGCTTTGACAACAGGTTGCAAGTCAGAAGATGCAAGGAGCCACTGTGGTCAAAGTAACCCAGAGAGAGAGAGAAAAAAATAATAACCCAGATAGCAAACAAATGATAACTCCAAAACCCTCCTCAGGATTTGATCAAATATACTAGTCAAGCTGCCGGGGGACTGCTTTGTACAGAAGTTGCATTTACTGTAGTCTGATTGACATTATTTCAGCAAGCCTTTGGTAAATACCCAAGCTTTTCCCCTAGGTAGGTTTCTTTTTTTCCCCCCAAAGTTCTCTACTCCCCAGGGGCAACAGTAAGAGAAAAAAAAGTTGCAACACATACTTCTAGGATCAAACCGCTGCCCAGGAAATTGAGAACCTAGGCAGTTGGCCAGTCCTCCCGCCAGATACAGTGCCTCTGTGGCAGGTTCTCCACAAGTCAACTGCTTGGGAGCAATTTATTTACATCCCCACTTCTTAGATCTCTGGGGCAGTGCACTTCTGACATGCATGCACAACATAAGAGCTATGATTCAACTAAAATTGAAACAAATACAATACCCTGAGGGAGAACCATGCATCCAGAAGGAAATTTTGTTTCCAGAAATGCTTTCCAGAGGAATCCTCAACTTACATTTTCAGCATTCTACCATCAGAACTGTTCTCTTTGGAGAAAATGTATGGGCTATGAAAGAATGCAGACCTTCTTTGGTTGAACTAATGGTATGATTAGTATTTTTTAAATAAACTACCAGATTTGTTCCAATCTGCCATGCTGTGTAAAAATCCTATATACTCTCTTTCAAGGACATTGGCTTTGAAGGCTAGAAGACAGAATCTAGTAAGTAACTCCTGTGTTAACATAAATGGCCATATCCTGAAAGAATTCCTGCACCCACACAAGCTCTCAAATAGATCAAGATCACATAATTAATATTACAAAATTGCTGACTACGTGTTTATCTTGGCTAGAAAACCCTGCCTCTTTGTTTACACTTCTCTGAAGGTATCTCTAGTTAGCTAGAAGAGTTTTGTAAAATTTTCAAAACAAGTTCCATGTTACTTTCCTCCACTGCAAATATAGACATGTATCCTTTTTTTATGGGGAGGGCTGGGGAGAGTGGAGAAAGAGGATGTAACAAAATCAAATAAACAATGGCATTTTGCAAGTCCTGAAATGTTGACTTCCTGTGGTACTAAATGTTGGTTCATTTGTACCTAATAAAGTAGCTTGGACTAGACTGAACTGTTTCATATATGTATGCTTTTTCTCTCACCATTCTAACCATTTGCTGTTAGAGAGCAGCAGTGGTGCCTAACTTTTCTTTTGTAAAATAGTATAACCACTTCAGAATATAGTTTGGCAGATTCTTAAAAAAGTTAAATAATCCTGGAGAAAAAAAGAGTAGTAGGTAAAAGCTAATGAAATTTGAATAAAATATAGACTTCAGTTAATGATAATATATCAATTTTGGCTCATTAATTGTAATAGTAACTTAAGATATTAGTAACAGGGAAAACTGGGTATGACGTATGTAGGAACTCTCTATACTATCTGCTATGGACTCAATGTTTGTAGCTCCCCCCAAAACAAACATTCATATATTGAAATTTTAACTTTTAATGTGATGGTATTAAGAGGTGGGACTTTTTGGGAGGTGATTAGGTCATGAGAGAGGAGCCCTAATGAATGGGATTAGTGCCCTTACAAAAGAAACTCCGGAGAGTTTTCTTGCCTTTTCCATCATGCAAGGACATGTGAAGGTATAGAGAGAAGATGACCATCTGTGAATGAGGAAGTAGGCTCTCATCAGACATTAAATCTGCTGGTGCCTTATCTTGAACTTTCCAGTCTCCAGAACCATAAGAAATAAATATTTGTTGTTTAAGTCACCTAGTCTATGGAATTTTTGTGTTAGCAGCCCAAGCAGACTAAGACCTTATCTTCACAATTTTTCTGTAAATTTAAAGTTATTCTAAAAATTGCTTTTAAAACAGAGCTAAAAAATGAACTAATAAACTTAAATGTACACTTACTATATAATTCAACCATTCCATGTCTTGGTATTTACTCAAGAAAAAAAAGGAAATATATGGGCATGCAAAGATGCATAAGTGAATGTTCATAGCAGCTTTATCTGGAATAGCCCATAAACTGCAAACAACCCAAATATCCTTCAAGAAGTGACCAGACTGTTTATATCCATATAATGGAATACTACTCAGCAATAAAAAGAATGAACTGTTGCTACATTTAACAAGATGGATGAATCTCAAAATAATTGTGTTAACTGAAATAATCCAGATTTAAAAAATGTACTGCATTATTATATTTATATACAATTCTAGAAAATGCAAACCGATTTATAGTGACAGATCAATGTTGTGGAAGTAGGGCGGGAGGGATTACAAAAGAGAAACTTGTGGGCGATTTATATATTCATTATTTTGATTATGGTGATAGTTTCATAGGTGGATACACATATCAGCCCTTACAAATTGTATGGTTTAAATTGTGTGTTGTTTACTGTATGTCAGTTATACCTCCATTAAATCTGTTTATTTAGAACAATCCAGTCATACACGAGAGAGATAATTATCTTAGGTTCATATAACTACTACCCTTGATCATTAAACATAGTTCTGAGCTTTTTGGTAGTGGAAATTTTGCTACCGTGTACCATTGTACCTACCACTTGTCCTTTGGTGATCAGTTTCGTTTTTTGAAAAATAAAGAGTAATCCTTAAAGTCTTTTATAGGAAAGTACATTGAGAATAATTCTAAACATGTATCTTCTAAAATAACTTAAAGGAAATTCAGTTGCATTAATTTCATAAACGTTAACTTGAAATTTGCTAATAAAGTGTTAGTAATTAGGAAACTTAAACTTAAAATGGGAATTAAGAGCTAAGAATTATTTATAAATACCATTATTTTTCTGAACATCTGTTGTGAGCCAGGCAATTGATTGGAAGTTTTTTTGAACAGCTTTATTGAGATATAATTTATATACAATATAATTCATCCATTTAAAATGTACAATTCACTGTTTTTTAGTATATTCTCAGATATGTGCAACCATTGCCACAGTCAATTTTGTAACATTTTCATCACCTCAAAATGAAGCTTCAGACTGCTTAATGGGTACAGGGTTTTGGGGTGATGAAAATTTTCTGGAACTAGATAGTGGTTGTGGTTGCACAACATTGTGAATGAACTAAGTGTCACTAAATTGTACACTTTAAAACAGTGCATTTTATGTTATATTGTTTCCACCTCACCCCTAAAAAATCACCCATATACTTTAAGTCTTTACCCCTATCCCTCTATCCCCCCAGCCCTAAGCAACCACTAATCTACTTTCTGTCTTTATAGATTTGCCTATTCTAGACATTTCATATAAATGAAAGCATATAGTATGTAGGTTTTTTTCCCGCCCACTGGCTTCTTTCACGGAGTATGTTTTCGAGGTTCATCCATGTTGTAGTGCATATCAGTACATTATTCATTCTTTTTTACGCCTGAATAAGATTTCATTATATGAATATACCACATTTTATTTATCCATTCATCAGTTGATAGACATTTAGGTTATTTCTACATTTTGTCTATTATGAATAATGCTGCAATGAACAAGTACAAGTTTTTGTGTGGGTGTATGTTTTGATTTTTCTTGGTTATATACCTAGGAGGGGAATTGCTGATAACTATACACTTAATGATTTGAGGAACTGCCAGACTGTTATCCAAAGTGGCTGCACCATTTTACACTCCCACCAGCAGTGTATGAGGATTCCAATTTCTCCACATCCAAGCCTACACTTGTTATAATCTTTCTGATTATAGCCAGCCTAGTGAGTATAAAGTGCTATCACAGGGTTTTAATTTGCATTTCCCCGATGACAAATGACTAACTCAGATACCTTTCATGTACTTTTTCCTAGAAATAAGCTCACATAGTCAATATTATGCATAGGCTCTCAGAGGGTTCATGGATCCTCAAAATTATGATCCTCTGGAGTGGAGTTACTGGGTGGACACATGAGGAAAAACTGTCATGGTAGTTATAATAAATTATATTTAATCATAGAAAATCATATAAAGTGTACTTGTTTCTTTTGCACTGCTATATATTTAATAAAAAGTAAAAGAATGCATTTTAACATTAGTTGCACTCAAATATTGGATTGGCTTCCACTAAAAGATTCTTAATGGGGGTGGAAGGAGAAGGGTCCCAACTCCTATTGGAATGAAAAATGTACACTATATATCACCACCTCTGAAATCAAAGGGCAATCCCATAGTCTGGCTGAGGTAGGAAAAATTACTTATTCTTTATTTGTACAAATGACATTGTATTAAATAGGATTAGAAAACCAATAGAATAGATGTCTATGTACCATGAATGTATCTGTGACAGGAGAGTGAAAAGATGTATAGGGTGGTGCTAACTTGAAACTCACTTTCAGGATGAGCAGCGGGTACTGGGAAAAATAAACACTATTCAACAAGAGTCAACAGTTATTTTGGCAAGTAGTAGCTTACTACTGTCACTGTGGCTTTACACCTATGACATATGAACGTTGTCTGTTCCTAGGGAGTAAATAAGCATTTGCCCAGTGGTCTCAGGAGTCACCTACAAAGTTTGGATATTTGCTATGGCTGGATCGAGTAACAGTGGCCTAAGCTTTGGAAACTCAAAGGAATTTGCTTAAGCAGCTTTGAGGGGGTCATTACACTCCATGGTATATTTTTAGAACCTGAGAAAACCTCCTTATTAGGAGCTTACACATTTACATTTCTTAGGGAAGTCAGCCTCACTCTCTCCACCAGATCAGCTTTTAGAAAATGGAATGATTTGGAGTTGCAATTAAAATCCCAGGCAGAAGCTCTTCTAGGATGTTCCATTGCTTAACTGCAAAGAGAGCAAAGAAAAATAACCAATTCAAGTTCTGTACCTTATTTCACCTTCTCTAATGTGCCCTGCCAGTTCTTCAATAAACTTCTCCCCTTTCATCCAGTAGATCATTGGCCCGGACTCTCCACTGAATCCAAAGAATGCTTTGCAGGGGATGTTCAGAGGCTTACCTGAGGATGACAGAGAAAAATAATTGAACAAATGGCCCCTGGTTATCACTGGGAGACAGAAAAGGACTGTTTAACATCCAAAGGAAAGCTCAGAGGTGACCCATTTTCAAGTCTTCTTCCAATCATCTTATCACTGCACATAAGAAAAAGAATTAGTCACAAGAGCTTCTGGGAAGTTTAAAAATTAAGATGTTATCAAAAATGAAAAAGTAAAGAAAATTAATCAGCTTTTAGAACTGCTTATTTTTTACTGCCTCCCTTCTAGGAACTAACAGGAAGAAATCAAATGGAAACAATTCTCCTTTATTTTTCTTTTTTGAGAGTATTAATTACTGATTACTTGGACTTCCCTTTGAAGTTAACATTAATCAAAAGTATAAGTTAATTTTTATTGGTGAGAAAATAATAATAGACTATCCATTATTATTAAGATTGCATAGGGGAAATTTGTTTATTCTGATGATTATCATTCTAAGAAAAATTGGATAATGCAAATCAAAGGAAGAATTTTTAATTAAAAAATATTTATAGGGTGCCTGGGTGGCTCAGTCGGTTGAGCATCTGCCTTCAGTTCAGGTCATGATCCCAGGGTCCTGAGTCCCATGTCAGGCTCCTTGCTCAGCAGGGAGCCTGCTTCTATCTTCTGCCTGCTGCTCCCCCTGCTTGTGCTCTGTCTCTCTCTCTCTGACAAATAGTCTTTAAAAAAATATTTATAAAAATTACATGCAAGGAAAACAGTCTAAACATGCCTTTTATATTCTTGGAGTTATTTATAGTATTTAAACAATTCTAGGCAATACTGCAGCATTTTTTATTATTCATCTTTGTGATTATAGCTAAAAACTTTAATTATAAATTTATCATCAAATATATAAGCAATTATTTTTTGCTGACATTGATTTTATTTTCTTCTTGTAAAGTAGATTAATAAGGGAAGAATAGTGTAAAGAGCACAGTCTAGACAATTCTGACAAAAGAATCCCCCACTCATAAATCATAATGTAGCCTATAATTTTCTCTATAACATGCATTTTTTTGCCCTCATTGAAGCACCAGATAAAGAAATTTCAAAAATATTTTTCCTTGTAGAGTACATGGTGAATTTGTTCTCATAATCACATAATGTCTACAGTTCTCAAAATCACTACAGCTCACTACAGCTCTCGTAATCACTTGTATATTGATCTTTCTATAGTGCAAATTTATATCTCAGGAAAATTACATGGACCTTTGGGATCATTCAATTATGTCAAAGCCTTTGGTATCAATAGTCTGTCATAGATATCTAACACAGACCTGAAACAAGGTTATTCATTGTTGCTTTGAACATATGCTCTGTGATATAAGTTTATGTAAAAATGAAAGATAGTCTGGTAGAGTGGAATGCGCACAGGAGATTTGGATCCTGGTTTTGGATCTATCATGAAAAAGCAGATTATCTGGCCCTGGGCAGATAACCTAACTTTTTATAAACTAACTTTTATACATGTAATAAGGATGGTAATATTTGGGAAGCTCAGATAAGACAGTGTTTACAAAAGTACTTGGTGAATTCAAAAGTTCTATCAAAAACAAAAAACAAAAAACAGAAAAACCCCCCACAAAAAACAACAACAAAACAAAACAACAAGAAAAAAACAAAACTCACAAAAATCCCATCCAAATTTAGCATGGTGGTGTTTTCCTTCTGAGGCTTGGTCCTCAAGAAGCCTAAATTTGAAGCATAATCTGATGTGGATAATAGGATAGATAAATGTTAATTTTGGCTCTGCCGATTTCATGTCCTTTTTAAATTTATGAGCTCCTATGTGGTAATAGCCTTCTCTATCAATGCTCTATAAATATTTCCTGGATTCTAAAGTAGGTGTGATTTATCCAAGCAGGCGCTGTGTTCTCTAAACCTGAACGCAGGGTCTTTTCTATGCCTTACTTCTCTTCATTCCCATGAAATTGAAGGTATTAAGGGACATCAAACCAGATGGCAGAAAAATCCCAGAGACTGTGATAAACATTATTATAAATAATCCCAGTTCCTAAAACTACATTTATACACATAAATTCTGGTTGTTATTCTTTTGGGCTATGTTGAGGAATATACCAAATAAAATACCTTCTAGTAATTCCTAGCATGTGGGTGCTAAGGTCTGGTTTGATTTTAATGAAGAAAGACAATTATAGTAATGTGCAAAAAGGGACTTCCTTGAGGTGGTCTATCAAAAATGACAGATTCTGCCCTTTCCTTTTGGCACTATACAATGGGTACTAAACATAGCAGCAATTAATTCTGGAAATGTTTTCACTCTCCCATCAGACATGTTCTTGTTAAATAAATGCAAGAGACAGATATTTCAGAGGTCTAGTTTTTTATGCAAATGCTGGATAAATATCCTGAATATTCTTTTTTCAATGGCTAAAACAGGAAAACTAACCATCATATGCAATACTCTGAAGAGAGTACTCTGAAGAGAGAGTATGCAATACTCTGATTAGCTTTTGTGTCAGATAGTGAGACTCAATGTGTGCAAGGGTGTGGACACCTCCTCTTCCAAAAGGTATGTGAGGGATCTCTGCATTGATTAAGCAAATAACCTGAAATGAAATCAATCCAGGCTTTTCTAAATTATGGCTCATGTGCATGTGCAAACTCCAATCTACCATTTGCATCTGTTTACTACTGTATTGTCTTGCCTCTGGACATATTCAAAGTCATTCCCATGGTACTATACCCTACTAGTAGAGATGACCAGCTCACATTTGTATCTAAAGGGCATAGTACAGTAGATTGAAGACTATCAAAATAAAAAGAACTTCATGAGTTTCTCAGTGTTTTATGCCATTCACAAGAGAATGGTTTTGTTTTTTAAATGATTTTATTCATTTATTTGACAGAGAGAGAGAGAGAGAGAAAGAGCACAGGCAGGGGGAGCAGCAGGCAGAGGGAGAGGGAGAAGCAGACTTCTTGCTGAGCAAGGAGCCCAACTTGCGGCTTGATCCCAGGGCCCTGGGATCAATGACCTGAGCCGAAGGCAGATGCTTAACTGACTGAGCTACCCAGGTGCCCCTAGAGAATGGTTTTATTTTTATTTATTTTTTAATTTTTTATTGTTATGTTAATCACCATACATTACATCATTAGTTTTTGATGTAGTGTTCCATGATTCATCGTTTGTGCATAACACCCAGTGCTCCATGCAGAACATGCCCTCTTTAATACCTATCACCAGGCTAACCCATCCTCCCACCTTTCTCCCCTCTAGAACCCTCAGTTTGTTTGAGTCCATTGTCTCTCATGGTTCATCTCCCCCTCCGATTTCCCCCCCTTCATTCTTCCCCTCCTGCTATCTTCTTTTTTTTTTTCTTAACATATATTGCATTATTTGTTTCAGAGGTACAGATCTGTGATTCAACAGTCTTGCACAATTCACAGTAGAGAATGGTTTTAGATAATCCTTTTAGGATTACTCTGTATTACTAACAATTTCTTTATCACTTTCTTAAGTCTAGACAAGCAACAAAACATGTTCATACAAAGAAATGTACATGAATGTTCCTAGCAGCTTTATTTGGAATAGCCAAAAACTGGAAATAGCCCAAATGTTCACCAACAGGTGAAGGGATAAACTCTGGTATATTCATACCACAAAATACTAATCAAGTGTGAAAAGGAATAAGTACTGATACACACCACTCATCCATTGATGGACACAGGTTGTTTCCATATCTTGACTATTTTAAACAATGCTTTAATGAACATGAGAGTGCAGATATCTTTTCGAGGTAGTTTTTTTTTTTTTTAATACCCAGAGGTGAAATAGCTGGATTATTATATAGTAGTTCTATTTTTCATTTTTTGAGGAATCTCCATACTATTTTCCATAGTGGCTGCACCAATTTACATTCCCACCAACAGTGCACAAGTTCCCCTTTTTCCACATCCTTGCCAACATTTATTTCTTGTCTTTTTGTACAGATGTAAGGTGATATCTCATTGTGGTTTTGATTTGCATTTCCCTGATGATTAGTGATGTTGTGCATCATTTTATGTGTTGTTTGGCCATCTGGTTATCTTCTTTGGAAAAAAAGTGTCTATTCAGGTCCTCTGCACACTTTTTGAGCAGATGATGATGATAAAGATAATGATGATTCGTCACTGTTATATAAGTTCTTTATATATTTTGGATATTAACCTCTTATTGAATATATCATTTACAAATATCTTCTCCCATTCAGGTTGCCATTTTGTTTTGTTGACTTTCTCTGCTTTTTATTTTGATGAAATTTATATTTCCTTTTGTTTCCTTTGCCTTAGGAGACATATCTAGAAAAAACATTGCTATTGCCAATGTGAAACAAGTTACTGCCTGTATTATTTTCTATAATTTTTATGGTTTCAAGCCTCACATTTAGGTCCTTAATCCATTTTGAGTTTATTTTTATGTATGGTGTTAAAAGGTGGTCTAATTTCATTCTTTTGCATGCAGCTGACCAGCTTTCCTAGCACCATTTCTTGAAGAAACTGTCTTTTTCTCATTGTATATTTTTACCTCCTTTGTCATAGATTTATTGACCATATAATTATGGGTCTATTTCTGGGCTCTCTATTCTGTTCTTTTGATCTATTTTTGTGCCAATACCACACTGTTTTTTACTACTGCAGCTTTGTAGTATATCTTGAAATCTGGAATTGCGATACCTCCAAGTTGGTTTTTCTTTTTAAAGATTGCTTTGTCTATTCAGGGCCTTTTGTGGTTCCATACAAATTTTAGTATTATTTGTTCTAGTTTTGTGAAAATGCTGTTGGTATTTTGAGAATGATTGTATTGAATCTGTAGATTGCTTTGGGAATATGAACATTTTAACAATATTAATTCTTCTAATCCATGAGCATGGAATATCTCCATTTCTTTGTGTCATCTTCAATTTCTTTCATCAGTGTTTTATAGGTTTTAGAGTACAAGTTTTTTGCTTCTTTGGTTAAGTTTATTCCTAGATATTTTATT